ATCATGATCATGCGTAATAAATCATAAATCATGATGATGTACCCCACCTTACTTAATGTCTTAAGGTGTTGTTCATCCATGAAGTCATGAATGAAAGACTTTGAACTCCTGTTAGTTCCTGATAATTCATGAGATATTAATGCATGAAGTAATGCATAATTCACACATTAATTTATGCATGAATTCATGGTCATTCATGTACCCTTACCGTAAAGTGTTACCAAGGGTTCTTCAGGATGCTGTGGTTCTAAACAGAACCATTACTACACTTAAAGAACCATCTTTTTTAGAGTGTGTTTTATATTTTAATCACAAAAAAAAAAAAAAATATATATATATATATATATTTGCACAAATATGCAATTATTAATCCACATACCATTTAGTTTTTTTGTGTGTTTTGTCTTTTGTATTATATGTGACCCTGGACCACAAAACCAGTCTTAAGTAGCATGGGTAAATTTGTAGCAATAGTCAAAAAGCATTAAGATATTAAGTAAAGATTATGTTCCATTAATATATTTTGTAAATTTTTTACCTTACATATATTACAACTTAATTTTTGATTAGTAATATGCATGGCTAAGGACTTCATTTGGACAACTTTAAAGGTGATTTTCTCAATATTTTGATTGTTTTGCACCCTCAAATAGTTGTATCTCGGCCAAATATTGTCCTAACAATACCATACATCAATGGAAAGCTTATGTATTCATCTTTCAGATGATGTATAAATCTCAATTTCGAAAAATTGACCCTTTTGACTGGTTTTGTGCTCCAGGGTCACATACTCATTGCAAAGTTAAATGTCAAACTATTGACTTTTGTGAAAACGACATTGACGTTATTTAAAAGTCTTAATTTGTGACAAACCCTGTTTCTGATTGTTCTCTTTCTGTTTGGTGTTACAGTGAAGTCAGTGTCAGTGAAGGAGGGAGATTCAGTCACTCTAAACTCTGGTCGAACTGAAATGAAAGATGATCTGATTTTGTGGACTTTTTTAAGTGAAAACACTTTAATCGCTGAAATCAACAAATCGGCCGACAGCATGTCTGTATTTGAGGATGTTCTTGACGGGAGAGTCAGAGACAGACTGAAGCTGGACAATCAAACTGGATCTCTGACCATCACCGACATCAGACCTGAACATGCTGGATATTATAAACTACAGATCAACTGTGTCAAAGAGTCTTTTATTCTCATTGTCAGTAGTGAGTTAAATTTCACCTGTTTTATAGTTTATCCACACACCATTTGGCTTCTGTTGTGTCCATCATGTTATGATGTTACTCATTTCAAATGTAAATTTCAAATTATTTGCTTTAGTAAAACATCTGAAAGTTATTTAATAGTCTTAATGTGTAACAAACCACATTTCTGTTTGTTCTCTGTGTGTATTTGGTGATACAGATGAAATATCAGTGATGGAGGGAGATTCAGTCACTCTAAACTCTGGTCTTACTGAAATAATGGATGATGATCTGATTCTGTGGCTGACTGAAACTGAAAACTCTCCAGATGGAGAACTCATCGTAGTGGCGGACAGCATGTCTGTATATGAGGATGTTCTTGATGGGAGATTCAGAAACAGACTGAAACTGGACAAACAGACTGGATCTCTGACCATCAGAGACACCACAACTGACGATTCTGGAGATTATGGACTAATTATAAACAATGTGTTCAAGTCTTTCAATGTTACCATCTACGGTGAGTTACGGTATCAGTTTCTCCTGTTTTATGTATTACTGTTAGTAGATCTCTCTATATCAGATTATCTTCAATGATCCTCAATTGTCTTTACTTCTCATGCTTTCAGCTCGTCTGCCTGTTCCTGTCATCAGCAGTAACTCTTCAAACTGTTCTTCATCATATTCATCATTGTGTTCATTGGTGTGTTCAGTGGTGAATGTGGGTCATGTGACTCTCTCCTGGTACAAAGGAAACAGTTTATTGTCCAGCATCAGTGTGTCTGATCTCAGCATCAGTCTCTCTCTACCTCTGGAGGTGGAATATCAGGATAAAAACAGCTACAGCTGTGTGCTCAAAAATCCCATCAGCAACCAGACCACACATCTGGACATCAGCAAACTCTGTCACACATGTGCAGGTATGGCAGTGCTGATATTTTAGTACACATTTACTAACATCAATGACTCTCTTTTACTCTCCTTCTCCTCCTCCAGACTCCCTGATAGTGTTGATCTCTGCTGCTGCTGCTGGATCTCTGTTGATTGTCGCTGCAGTCGGGATCTTCTGTTTCTGCAGGAAATGTAGAAAAACTGACAGAGAAGGCAAGTATTTCCTACTCCTTTTAAACAAGTATTAAAATACTAATATATTTGAATCAATTGATAGCCCTAATTATCATTTAATCTTATTTATTCTCATAATTTGGAAGTTAAAGCCCTCTAGTTTCTTTTTAATGGAAGAAAAACAAAATAATGTGTGCAGTTACTGGGTTTCGGAATATGTTTGCATATTCCTTACTCGTCTCACATTTACTCATAAATGCTTATCTACATTATTTCCATAATAAAACAACTTTTCTCCAATTTATGAGCATAATCTTACATAATATTACATTAGTTCTCTGCTGGTGTTCAAATTAGCATCACTATGAATGTCAATTTTTCAATGTAAATTGTGTTAGGAATATTGTTCTAAATATAATTATTGTATAGTCCAAGGGCTTTTTATGTATGTTGGAATGTCAAATTCATAAATGGCATTTAAAAAATTGCAGTATTGTTTTTATTTATTTATTATTAATTGCATGTAATTTAATGATTGCATTGCACAACACTTACATTTGAGCCTTAATACAAATGCATGTGTTGTGAAGAAACCATTCAGATTGAGTTTTGTTGTTTTAATCTATTATTATTATTATTATTATTATTATTTAAGCAGTCCAGACTTCTGATGAAGAAATAACTTATGCTGAGACAACATTCCACACAAGAAATGTACACAAATTGGTAAGAAACTTTAATCTCTTCATTTAGTCTCTATATTATTTTAGCTGTGAGTCAGATTTTGATGTGTTTTTATTTTTGTATAATGATCAATCATATACATTACACACAGCAGCATCATATCAGATATTTATAAAAGCCATAACATCATCCATGTAAAAAAAAATAAAAATAAATGATCAGTTTTGCACCAATAACCTATTGCTGGAACAATCGGTTATCGTTTGATGGTCAGTGCCCTCAAAGTAATACCTTTGTACCTTCTCTATCCCTAAAGGGTGCATAGTTGTACTTTATGAGTGTGTATTTTTTATCTTTAGGGTACATATTTCTACTCTAATGTAGTAATATGAACCCTTTAGGGATAGAGAAGTTGTAAGTGTACTGTCTCAGTGACAAGCTGATGTAAAGTCACAATTTTTGCATTTTTTTTTCTGACAGTGTAATATTACTTCATTTCAATATTGGATTTTATGGAAATGTTTACTTTTGAAAGATGAACAATTTTGCGTCACCACTTGATGCCCAATGTAAAATTTGGATCCTGAAGCAAAACCACTGGGAGGGAGATTCAGTCACTCTAAACTCTGGTCGAACTGAAATGAAAGATGATCTGATTTTGTGGACTTTTTTAAGTGAAAACACTTTAATCGCTGAAATCAACAAATCGGCCGACAGCATGTCTGTATTTGAGGATGTTCTTGACGGGAGAGTCAGAGACAGACTGAAGCTGGACAATCAAACTGGATCTCTGACCATCACCGACATCAGACCTGAACATGCTGGATATTATAAACTACAGATCAACTGTGTCAAAGAGTCTTTTATTCTCATTGTCAGTAGTGAGTTAAATTTCACCTGTTTTATAGTTTATCCACACACCATTTGGCTTCTGTTGTGTCCATCATGTTATGATGTTACTCATTTCAAATGTAAATTTCAAATTATTTGCTTTAGTAAAACATCTGAAAGTTATTTAATAGTCTTAATGTGTAACAAACCACATTTCTGTTTGTTCTCTGTGTGTATTTGGTGATACAGATGAAATATCAGTGATGGAGGGAGATTCAGTCACTCTAAACTCTGGTCTTACTGAAATAATGGATGATGATCTGATTCTGTGGCTGACTGAAACTGAAAACTCTCCAGATGGAGAACTCATTGTAGTGGCGGACAGCATGACTGTATATGAGGATGTTCTTGATGGGAGATTCAGAAACAGACTGAAACTGGACAAACAGACTGGATCTCTGACCATCAGAGACACCACAACTGACGATTATGGAGATTATGGACTAATTATAAACAATGTGTTCAATGTTACCAATGTTACCATCTACGGTGAGTTACGGTATCAGTTTCTCCTGTTTTATGTATTACTGTTAGCTATATCAGATATATCAGATTATCTTCAATGATCCTCAATTGTCTTTACTTCTCATGCTTTCAGCTCGTCTGCCTGTTCCTGTCATCAGCAGTAACTCTACAAACTGTTCTTCATCATCATCATCATCATATTGTTCATTGGTGTGTTCAGTGGTGAATGTGGGTCATGTGACTCTCTCCTGGTACAAAGGAAACAGTTTATTGTCCAGCATCAGTGTGTCTGATCTCAGCATCAGTCTCTCTCTACCTCTGGAGGTGGAATATCAGGATAAAAACACCTACAGCTGTGTGCTCAGCAATCCCATCAGCAACCAGACCACACATCTGGACATCAGCAAACTCTGTCACACATGTTCAGGTACAGCAGCTGATATTAGTTGATGTCGGTGCTGATATTAGCGCTTATTGACTGAGCTGATCTCAGTTTGATGTTTTTATTCCTCAGACTCTGTCCACTGTTGTGGTTCTACTGAAGCTGTGATCCGATTGGTCCTCTCTGCTCTGGTGGGCGTGGCTACTGTCATTCTTCTGGTTTATGACATCAGATCCAGAAGAGCTCAACAAGATCAAGCACATATTCACACACCAGAAGCCTAAATGATTTCGTTTCTCATATAACTATGTCAATCATTTATTTGTTATGGCTTTATATATTAATCTACTGGTATTGATGTTCATTTATAGGCAGCTCATTTCCACTCTAGAAGAGGATTTGAGAATGAAAAGCAACACATTCTCACATTAATGCTCAAATGATCAGATGTGAGTGTTTGCCATGATAAATACGGATGACTGCCAAATATCGCTTTGCTCGCACTAGACTGGCATAACAATCTATTTGTTTGTGGCTTTAAGCATGCTTAAAAGATCTTGTCTGGTGCTCCTCTACTGGCTGAACATAAACACATGGAAACAAGCTGTCTGCATTTTTTTTTTTGTCAAATCCACCTTGAAATGCTTTATTGTTTATATTTTCCTCAGAAAACGAACAGCTCTCACTCACTTTAGAAAACATAAAGATACATTGAGTCTGTTAAATTTTTTTTTTTGTTGTTGTCATCTATTATTAAGTAACTGAGACCTTTCTGACTGAGCAGTATCCTCTGCTCTGGCCTTGACCTAAAGCAATGAAGTCTATCGGGTAATCCTATATTTATCATTTCATTATCAAATCATTGTTTTAAAGGGGCCATGACATGAGAAATGACCCTATCGCCATCCTTGCTTTAGGTCCAGGTTTCTCCAGAAGAAAAGACCAAGCTAAACTCACATGTGCTTCAACTAGAGTTTCAAGAGTTATTTTGTTCAGATTCACCAAAGTCTACAATGAAATGCCTCATTATGACCTCAATTTTTTTCTCATTCAGACCAAATCTCACAGGTAGCCAAATCCCTACCCGGTCTCATGGCAAAAACGTACCTGGGGGCACTTTTTCGCGAGACGCTTAATACGTACCAATAAGTACATATCACTGCAGTTTCCAAAAGAAATGAACACTAAATGCTTGGTTAAATACAACCCAGTGCTGGGTAAAATAGGGACAAGCCCAGCAATTGGGTTGTTTTGACCCAGCGGTTGGGTTAGACGCCGATGCGCGGAAGAGGGGAACCCCCCCTTCAGCCTCATCGGCTAGGTCCACCTGAGATCCCCACGAGCTCATTCTCCTCCGTGCCTCAGCAGCGGCGGGTCCTGAACCGCGGGAAACCGATGGTTGTCCCTCTCCCCTCGAGAAGAGAGACAAACGAGAGCGGAGCTTCTTCAGAGAAAAGCTCTCACAGTGCACACAGATTGCCCCCTCGAGGACATCGTGTGCGTGCTCCTCGCCCAAACAAACAACGCATAGATCGTGTGAATCATCGGGTGTCAGGAACCGCTGACACGGATGTACACACTTTCTAAACGCTTCGCTAGTGCTCGCCATGGTAGGAAAGAAAAAGCTCTTACTTTGCTTTTTGGAATGCACGCTTCAAACAGACCGGTCAGTGAAGACGAAGAAGAGAATGATGTGCGCTACCGGCGCCTATTTTGTACTAGTCGCGACGGTAGTGACGTCATGGCTGTCGCCGGCCAAACAAGTTGGTGTTTTTTCAATGTAGGCTTCAGACACGGGTCACGACGAGGCGTTCCCCATAGCGACCCCTAGAGGACGCAGTTCGAAGTTCCACGAAAGGGAACCAGTGTTCACATCTTCCAGCTCCAGAAATCAGAAAAGTCCACGAGCGTGAATGCCTAATGGAATGGTGTTTCTCTGGGTGAAAGTTCTCATAGAGCCAGGAAAGAGGGAAGAGAGATAAAAGCCAAGCGATATTCACTTGTTTCTCATAGCTGCTTTACCTTTAAGAATTTAGCAGGATTTTCTCACATTTTCTCATTCTTAGGTGAAGGATTGTTGTCCTATCTGTGTTTATCCGGACATGAAGCTCATAGACTGTTAGACTTTACTGTAAATTGGTGTGTTAACCCACTGCGTTACAGTATTTGAAGTGCAGAGGGATCTTGATCTGTTGATCATGGTTTATAGGCTACCCGGTCTCATGGCAAATACGTACCTGGGGGCACATTTTTGCAAGACGCGAAATACGTACCAATAACTACATATCACTGCAGTTTCCAAAATAAATGAACACTAGAGGCAGTAAAACTCCGACACCTTTTAAATTATTTTCACACAGAGTATGATTTACAGAGTTTCGATTAATAAAGCGTAATTTTCGCACAATTACTTGAAGAGTATTATGTTGTGACTTTAGAACATTCTTAATATGCTGGGAGATTTGAAAACGGATGCTTTTGAACGTTAGCACCGCACATATCCAGCTTCATATCAATGGGTTTTCATAGACGATAGGTTTGTTCGGTAGCATACGGAGACATAATTGAGAGGTGAGGAGCTCCGGTTCGAATATCGTGTAACTACGGTTCGACAAAACAGTTCAAATCTGCATATAAGGAAGTTCAAATGGCACGGTTGCATCAAAAAAATGTGTTTTTATATCAGTTTTGCATTTGTTAACACTATCGGGTAGGTTTAGGGTTGGGTTTGGTGTAGGGCATATTTCCAACACTATAGAGCATTAACTTTTAGGGACAGTCCCCGGATATTTGAATTCTGAACTGCCGCAATACGTA